GCAACGAAGAAGCCCTATGAGGATCTCTCGCGCATCTGGTTTGCCTAACGATACCTGTGCTGAGAGGTTGATACGATACATGTGAAACTAAAATACATGACAACAAAAAGAATCCAATGATGGAAACAGCAATGGGGCGTATGGTTGCTTTTCTGAAAAGCCTGATTTAGGTTTGAAAATCTGTTAGGGAAGCAACACTCCGGCCTTCAAAGTATTAATAGATTCGGAGGAATCAGGGTATTATGGTATGAGGCACGACCAATACGCTTGTGATGATTTGATACCCCACCGCTGGTTCAGGGCTACGTTAGGGACAGGTCACCGAAGAAGACGCGCTTAATGAGGTACGGACAGAAAAAGCAAATATAGATGGATCACTTTAGACCGTAGCCCCTGAGGGCGTTTGTAGTTGGGCCACGCTTGGTCGGTCGTCAAAAGCGTTAAAAGCTTACGCAAAGCTTACAGATTCTACTCGAATCCATTCCAAACATAGAAGAGATTCAGAGTACAATTACTCGCCAGGCTATGCTGGCTGTGAATTCTCAAGCGGGTGGGATGTTCATGAAACAGGCATGTGTATATGGATTGTGTGGGCTCCGCCAATCGGTGCAGCTTAAAAACTATTGATGGATTGTTAGCGGCGGTGTTGAGGAATAGCGGCGTTGTAGGAGTAGTAAATTACCTAGGTATATTAGGTATCATGCTAAAATTTGCATACATTCTGGGTTATATCGCTTGCGTTATAATATGCGATGTGGCATTTATCAATCTCTCCATCGAGTTACAATTCTGAGAGTGAAGGGCCATCATTACCTACATGCCGCACATTACGATCCTTCGGCTGTCGAAAACGTATATAGATGAAGTAAAATGGGTTAGGTATGCAACATAGTATTCTTAACTATCATCCAACCTACCGTCCTATTCTTTCACACTTAGTTATACAATCTCCATGTGAAGTTGCAGATATAAAGGTGTATTATACATATACCAACATATTTATAATTACCTAGACTATTACTACACCAGTGCATCACGACCTTATACCCCCTTCTTTTGTTGGTAAGCCAATAATATTCTCGATTGTTAATAACATTGGCCTAATACCCCCTTTCCCCGAATTCTTTTTGGATGTCCTCGTGTTCCACATGACGATGATGAGAATGTTAACGTCTATTGGTTGCTATAAGCTAGGTAGCTACAGCAAGCGCATCTATGGCGCTTTATACAAGTCCGAAACGATCTTCTCCGTATACTCTTCTTCGTGATTTAGGGTCTTTCACTTTGCCCTTCCATCGGGCTTCTGCGACGGCTATCTGGATTTCTTCATCGGCATATCCGTTTCTCGTTTCCTCCCATTCTTCCAGTGTCAGGCGAAGTTTATGGCGCTTTAGACGTCTAGAGTACCTCTTCAAAGGGAGACAGAGCTAGAGTTTTGACTAACATAAGAGATCCTCCGCTTCCTATCCCCAGCCCCTACCTGCCTACAGCATTACTCTACCTGGTTGGGGAAACCCCGTCAAATACGCCTTCTTATAACAGAGATAAAATCACCCTCAGCGCCCAGCAGTGCCCAAGGAAAAAACCTGAGTCGGACCAGTTTGGTTTGACCACAGTGGGATTCGAACCCACTTGTCCTCGTGTTCCACAATCTGTCCCAATTTCAAAAAGTCTTTCGGACATCTTCAGTATCGTCTATCCATTTCTCTGTTTATTTATCGAGGAGTTGCTGGTACGTCTGCAGACTCGAGCTTTCTCTTTGTTCTTGTTGCAAGTAGCTTGATGATTGGCTGTTTATCCTTAGAAGGGGTGTTTTTAATTACCTGTGTATTTTTCAGTGTCTTGGGAAATTTAGCTCGTATGCCAGGTCGCCAATTTTCTTTAGGACAGTGAAGGGTCCAGCTTTCTGCTGGAACCATTTTCTTTCTGGTTTCTACAAGTTGATCGTCCTGGGGTATGTCCCGAAGGTTGTGCAGATCCTGAAGCTTGAGTAGGTCGTGAAGGTTTAGGTAGAGGGTTCTGCATGATAGGATCGTCGTTTGAGTCTGACTCGGATGAAGAGATATCTGCCACCGGTGTCTTTTGTGTTGTCACTGTCGTCTTAGCCTTAGCTTCTCTAGCTTTCTGTGCGTTCTGCTGCCTTGTTTTCTTCAGTGATGATTGGGCTTGCGCCAGGGCTTTGTAAGGTATATATTCAATATTGTTGGGGAAGTTAATGGGGGCGTTCCCAGACGTGAATAGCCGGTCTTGTCTTGGGTTTTCGATCAGTTCGCTGATTCGGGAGAGCATTCCTCCAATCCTTCTTTTTCTTCGTTCTTCATATATGACCTTCATTGGCCCGATGATTGCTCGCGTGGCGTCGACAGTTATAACTTACTTTAGATACTACTTGGGAGTTGTGGTTTAGGAGCACGTGGCGTCGACAGCTCTCTTCATCGGTGCTAGTGTGCTTCGCAGAGTTTCGTGATGGGTTGGTGGAATGGACAATCGAAGCTCTCTTGCGTTTGGTATTGTCGAGAGTCTGAATTACGTCTCTAATCTGATTATGCTGGTTGTCTTTATCCGGCGCATCGCGAATGCTCATGTCTCTCACAAGGCGTTGTATATGGGACTCTTTGCTCTGGATTTATTTCAAGACTGTTGAGCTTAGCCGTCTCGTATTTGGTCTGTTCCTAATACTCGATTGAAAAATTGGGTGTTGTTTAGAATTACTCAGTTGCTTGAATCGATATTTCTCTTTATTTTAGCCTTTGTAATGCCACCCGCACCATAGGTAGCTGTCTGGGATCCCAGTTTGAGGGACGGTTAAATAGGCAGCAAGTGCTGAGCACTTCTCTTGCCTATCTAGGTCCATGGCAACGGAACCTTTCTCGCGGATTTCCTTCAACGCGATTAGGCGAACTAGGTCCTACTAACATCAGCCTGGACTTGAATAAACTTGATCTGGCTCGAACTAACCTTGTTCCCTTCGATGAGGGAGCGCGCGTCATTATGCTGGCACTGTCGCAGCTTATCTACTACGTAAGTTGTGACTTGGAGGCCAGTTAACAAAGGCGTTATTGATTTCACGTTTGTCCATGCAGAGATCATGTAGCTCTTAGAGATTGGCTTAGTCCTTCGTGCGATGACATATTAATTAAGACATCTTGACGGAGACATCTTGATGAGTAGCAGGTGTGATAATATGTTATGTCGTATGTAGGATGATTAGAGGTTAGGTCCCTAAGCTGCCAATTTGTCAAAACACAGGAACAGTTTTAGGCGTACAAGCATTTACGTGACTAGAAGCTCACCTTGTGCGTTGATTGTACCGCGACGGTTCGATGCTCGCTCAAGGGGGATAGCTGCAATAACGCCATATTGTCCAGTGGACTTTGGTCATCTTTGTCGTCCCTTATTAAACTCTGGGGCCATATATGTAAGTATTGTTTATTACTCTTTAGTTGGCTATAAAAAGCTTGTTAGTTACTCCAAATTAGATGAATGCTTAGAGAAGTAAAGATGATTACATACCAGAGATGCAAGCAGCGCTTCGGTTGCTATTGCATAGAATTTTTATGGTTTGATAGTATTGTAAAATTTTTGTGTTGAGGATTGATTTTTTTAGGAGGTAGTTAGGGCACAATTATTTTATGTGTGTTAAGTTATGTTCAGGATGATTCTGCAGCTTGTTGGAAATAACGAAGGTGTGGAACTGGTCTTGTATTGCGGAAGCGTTGTTGAATCTAAAAGGACTACGGGACCTCGTCTGTTTATATAATCGGCCTAAAGGCCCTGAGGGCCTCGTTCCTTCCCTTGATGCTTTCAACCGTGACTCACGATCACAACGTGGACCACCTGCCAACAGAAGGCAATAAATATTCCGGGCGGTGAAGTGCACACAAAAAAAGGGGGGAAATGACTTAAGGCAAGAAGGTGCGTCCAACGCTATGACCTTAGGTACTTCCTAAGGTACGGTGTAATTTCTGTCGCTTAGATACCTTAGGTACACGTACGTAGATGCCTGATACAAGTGGTAAAACCTTAGGAAGAATCTTTCCTTGAGTGTGCAACAAGGATACATCAGATACACTGTACCAAGGTACCCTACAACTGCCGTCAGTGCCTTCGGTACTTGGGTATATCTACAATTATCTGCAACTACCTAATTCAAGTACATTGCAAAGTTTATTGAAAATCCACTTGATGTGGTGTTGAATATCGCAAAGCGTTTATAACGTCTTTGTCATCTTACCTCCTATGTCAATGGCAACCAACTGCATTTTCGCCCCTTTATCGTAACTGGAAATAAATGATTTAAACCTCCAGATTAGATTCCCTTTTCTGCCGTTTTGTTCCATACCATAGTCTATCATTTTGGTACTCGTTTGGATTCGCAGGTAAATATCGGCCATGTCAAAATAGGGGCAGGGATTAATGGACTGGTAGGAGTACCCTTATCAAATCTAAACATTTAATATCCAGAAGAATAAGTGAATTACGAATGGCTAATAAAGAAACTATATTATACAAGCAATGATTGGTGACATCGTATATGGGAATAACAAGTAGCCTAGTATCATACCAAAAACAATCCGTGATATGCCGCGTAGGAAACAGATGCCATATGTCGGCAATCAAGGACAAAAGCGGAATGTGATGAGGGTTTACCTCGACACTTTCACCCAATCAATATTCCTCCAGTCTACAATATAAATAAGTTTGTCTGCTGTCAGCATTACATACAGACGGGGGAGGCTTATTTCCAGATTACTCCCATCTGTCGAATGAGATAGTAAGTATTAATGCCAATTTTTATGATAAGTGGTACAATAAAACGAGTGCTTTTTCAATATCCAATGGACCTTGTCGAGCTTTTATAACTATATGAGATCACATAAGACTTCCCTAGCCCTGTACGTTGAAAACCACGACATGAAAATTCTTAATTGATATATTAGGGGCGTAATATTATACTGGCAGCTCATGTACCAACGCATAACAGCGTACAGGATGAGATAATGGAGCCCGTTTCAGTCAATATCCAGATAGCGGTCGTATTTGTCGTCTTTACTACTCTCCTTTTCCTTAAAATATATACGATCGGTAGTCGGGGTAAAGAGCTCCCACCTGGCCCTAAGACAGCCCCTATTCTAGGAAACGCACTGGATTTCCCTACTTACTTTCCTCATATCAAGTAAGCTGCTCCAATAACTACATCTTTCTCATGCTTAAATTTTCAGATTTTCGGAATGGGCTCGTGAGTACGGAGAAATTTACTCGCTTAAAGTTTTGAACGGGACGATAATCGTTCTTTCTTCTGCGCCGGCTATTAAAAGTGTTCTCGATATCAGTGGACTGAATACAGGCAATCGGCCCGAGTCTACTATAATACGGCGGGTCACTAATGGCGATGTCCAAGCACTAGAGGATATGGATAGGCCCGCTTGGAGGCGTAGTCGAAAGGCTATGCACACTTTTATCACAGAGTATATTCTAGGGTCACACGTCGAGATTCAAGACGCCGAGTACTCTCAGCTTATGAACGACATTCTTGAAGATCCGAAGAACACTTTTCAGCACATCAGTCGAATGGCTGTAGGTGTGCTAATCACAACTCTTTACGGATCCAGGGTTCCGAAATACCGGGGTTCAGAAGCAGAAACATATTTCCGCGGAGTCAAATTGATGAACAAAGTTACTGACCCCGGGGCTCACCCGCCAGTTGAAATCCTATGGCCGCTGAAATATGTCCCGAAACGTTGGGCGTACTGGAAGCGACTCGCCGACATGACGCGGGAGACCTGCGCCCAAGTCTTTGATCCGCTTTATAAGCAATGTGAACGCGCGATAGAGCTAAATAAGAAAACTGGATGCTTTATCGAGTATTTAATTCTGAATCAGCAACAGCTAGGTATGCCACACCGAGAGATTACTGGGTTAGCCGAGGGCCTGATGGATGCCGGCGCCGAGGCTACCGCTTCGTTTCTTCAAAGCATCATATTAGTTCTAATCAACTACCCCCACGTTCAAGAAAAAGGTCAAAAAGAGATTGACAGCGTCGTTGGAGGTGATCGATGGCCGACTTTGGACGACTACGACAAGTGTCCGTATATTCGCGCAATTGTTGAAGAAATATTCCGATTTAGACCAGTTTTCCCCGTAGGTATTCCGCATAGAAGCGCGAAGGAGACTTACTATAAGGAATACCGTATTCCGGAGAACTCAGTCATCTTCATGAACGTATATGGGCTATTTCATGATCCGGATTTATACGATGACCCAGAGACATTTGATCCCGAGCGATTCCTGAAATCCCCTTTTGGGACGAAAAAGGGGGCAGAGACAGGGGCATATAGGAATAATCTTGCGTTTGGAGCTGGACGGCGGATTTGCGCCGGAGAGGAACTGGCTCGTCGATTGATCGCACAGAATGTGATGAACTTCCTTTGGTCATTCGACTTTAAAAAAGACGGTTCCGGAACAGGGGGCATGGATATTGATTCCTATTCTAGGGTGAGCCATTCTTTCCGATTTCATAACACATGCTGACGATCGTCTAGCCGGGTATCGAGCTTGCGCCGAAGCAATTCACGTGTGATATTACGCCACGATCTAGTGCTAAAGCATGTGCGATTAAGGACCAGTTTGGAAAAGCATTTCCAGTTAACGTCAATGGCTCTGCAGGGGAAGTTACAGGGTAGTCCCCCAGTCAGTCATGTGGAGATGAAAGATGATATAGATCATATCCAGTCGAAAACACTGGTTGGAGGTATAATATTTACAGGCTACGAGTTCAATAGGGGTAACACTGATGTAGAACTACGTAAGGTCTTGATGGGTCATTTGCATCAATAGTAGCAATTTATAGCCCCATGTATTTCAGTAGTAGCGGTAGATATCTAATATACGGACTCTGTTGTATCTTCATCATCTATTATCCGCGTTTCCTTGGACATTGGTTTATATGGATTTGTGGATTTGTATGTAGGCCGGAGATGTCACAGTACCGCACACTGATGCAACCTAATAATAGGAGAGAGTAATAAAATGAATGGCTTCTCGAATATCTGACATCCAAGAAAAGGGGTAGAGAGGACGAAAGCAGAAAAAAGAAAGGCAAAAAAGAAGGAATACATACAACACCGGGGATTCGCTGGTCGTCACCGACCCAACTACTAATCCGGCGATATCAGGTTTATCTAGGGGAGAGCGGACGGGATCCCGAGTTTTCCTGATTCTATGGTCGTATGTGCTGTATTGTTGTTTTATTTTTGTATATATCGTAACTGTCGATCAACTGACCCGAGACGGTGAAGCCAATCCGCCATCGAAAACGGTATATACGCTAACACGGGGATAAACCCCTTTAAGGGGGATATTATACTGCCGCCTACGCTAATTAGGCGGTACGCGGATATCCTCATACAAGCGACCCTTTTATTATTTCCTATACACCGAGTCCCATGGTACCGTAGGTATATAGTATTTTTCACCTCAAAATGCGGCGGCTTATTTGCCTGGGCTTCGGGCCCCTAGGCCTCCGACAGGTATCCACTGTGGGAGCTTCCGCACCCGGGAAGCATGGCGATTGGCTGCTGACGCGGAATCGCCGACGTCGATGGATGGGATCGACTGTAAGATCTATAGTGGTGTTGCTGGTAAACAACTTAATGAGCACCTAGCAATAGGGGGGTAGTAAACTCATATATAAATGGGAATCGCTTCAGATTTCGTCTCCTGGAATCGCACAGGTTCTTGATATTCTAATTTCACGCAAGAAACGGTTTCGCTGTCTAAATTACTCATCATGTTGAAAACTTGTATTGGCGCCGCGGCCTTGGCTGCCAGGCTAGCAGCCGCATCTGAATTATCCTGGACTCCTTCTTCGCTTGTTCCTAAGGCTGCTGGCTTCGAAGTAGCATCGAATAGTAGTGGAATTGCATATGTAAGTAGTGACACCTGCAGGGCCCGAGGGATAACGGTACAGTTGTCGCTTGCTTACACTCCCTACTATCTAGTGCGATGCTTTGAAAGAAGCCGGTCTTGGGGATCGACTACTTCTCGCGACGGACGCAGGTTACGAACCTCAGATACAGTCCTGGTATGCGGAGAACGCCCGTTTCAGACCCGACTGCCTTGTTCTTCCCCATAACACCGAGGAGGTAGCAACAGCATTAAAAGCACTGGTTAATGTCAACAACGGCGGAGGTGATTGGCACATCGCCGTGCGCAGCGGTGGGCACAGTTTCCCCGGAAGCAACAACATTGCCAACGGCGTGACTATCGACTTGACAATGATGAACTCGTCGAGCTATGATCCGGAGACGAATCTCGCCAAGATACAACCAGGAGGCCGATGGCGAAATACATACGCAGACTTGCAGAAAGCTGGGGTAGTTGTAACAGGGGGCCGGGACGGCGATGTTGGTGTGGGCGGTTTCCTCCTAGGAGGCGGCAACTCCTTCTTTTCAGGACGAATGGGATTCGGCTGTGATTCTGTCAAGAACTACGAGGTTGTACTGGCTAACGGCACTATCATCAACGCCAACAGCACAGCAAATTCGGATCTATGGCGAGCCCTCAAGGGAGGCGGTAGCAACTACGGCATCGTCACGCGATTTGACATGGAAGCACTCCCGACGCGAGACTTATATTATGAGACGCGGGTCCTAAGCTTAAACTATTCGGAATCTATGATTGATGCGGTAGTTGGATATGCCAACCAAGACCAGTCCTTTGCTGATAACGCCCTTGTACCTCTTTGGATTCACAACGCGTCAAGCAGTCCCGAGACGATTATCAACGCAATTTATGTCAATACCCAAGGGAACAGCAACGCTACATCGGCATTTGACAATGTTAGACGTCTTCCGACCTTATTCAAGTCTACGTCCCTCCAAAATATGGCGGCGGCTGCTGATGGCTCCCAGTTTCCTGGTAATACTAAGTAAGTTAACCACTTTAAGCTCGTTTGGGGCAGGTTATGAGTTAACTAATTGACTAATCGAATCCAGGAATTACGGAACAACGTTGACTTTTCGCAATGACCCCCAGATACTCCGTCGCTGTGTTGAACTCCACGAGGATTTAATTAAGAGGCTCAACAGTCTAATCGGCCCCAAGTTCACGTCATTATTAGTCTTGCAGCCCATTCCTTCTTATATGGCGACCATCGCCGAGCAGAAAGGCGGCAACATGCTTGGGCTAGAAAATATCGAGGGCAACTCTGTCATATTCAACGCCGGCGTCGCCGTTACCTCTGACGACAGGGACTTCGCGATAGCCAGGGCAGAGCTAGCCGTGGTAACAGCCCAGGTCAAAGAATTTTCCAAGTCGGTGAATGGAGATGTAGACTTCATCTACTTGAACTATGCGGAATCGAACCAGGACCCTCTTGGAAGTTATGGCGCCAAGAATATCCAGCATATGCGGGATGTGGCTGCGAAATACGACCCCACTGAAGTATTCCAGAAGCGCATCCCGGGTGGTTTCAAGATTTCGAGGGCGGCGTGATACATTCTTGGAAATGTGATGGATTATCGGTGAACCCTTTTGGGAACCCCTATAAGGTGTGCATCAGAACGGTGATAAGGGCGGATATATTGAATTCTCTAGAGCCTTTTTCGATTTAGTTATTTAGTTATAATTAATATAATTATAAATTATATTTGACTTCTATGTACACTAATGTTGCATTATCTTCTTTACAATATTGCATGTGTCAACCCCCCTTTTTTTCTTTTACTCCGGATTTTATAAAATTTGTGGCTAGTGTATAAAGGTCCGGGCCAAAAGTCTTATACATTTGAAGGTCCCTAGCACCGTATTCGAACGTCATCCTTTTCTATTGATACTGTATCAGCTACCTGCTAAGCTAAAATTTAGATAGTGGCTCGTACGCTAAGTTTAAGTACCTTACCACTATATTTATAGCGGTATCAACCACTACAGCTTAAATAATACCGTGCGCTCCTTCTTTAACTCACACGTGATTTGCCAAGACCAGATGTGCAAGTCTTTTGGCCCGGACCTTCGTACTTGCGTGGCTTAGATCGTCACCGCTTTGCTCAGCCTCACGTTATCTTGGAGGCAACCTGCTTTACTAAGCAAGATTGATGTAAGTGGTCGGGGGCCTCGGAATCCGGCAAAGTCTAAAGTACCACATGGAGCCGGGGTTTTGGAGAGTTAATCCAACATCCCTTTTCGTTTTGACGATGCAGCTTTTAAGAAAATGGACGAAACAGAAAATAGTGTTCCCTTAGAGCGGAGGCCTGCGGTAAGGATCGCTTTTTTCTTTTCTCATAGGTAGTTGATAATTGATACTAATATTACGTAATATTCAGTGCGATAACTGCAAAGCCCGAAAGGTAATGCCCAACATCAATTTCCCCCCTTTACCTAACTTATACTAGGTGCCTACACTCGGTGCCTATCTAAGATATAACTATAACATAATACTCACTCTTTTAGTAGACGAAATGCGATAGAAAGTCACCATGTGCGAGCTGTATAACCCTCAACGTAATTTGTCGTATAACTCGTCGGGCTGCTGAGAAACGGCAACGCGTTCTCATATCATCAAAATATGACGAGGCTGTACAAGATGTCAGTCGTCAGCTTGGCGATGTCAAAGAAATGCTTCAGACGCTCCTGTTGAGCAGAAGCCCTGGTCCCAATTCAACCTCGACTTCATCAGAGAGTACACATCATACCGCACCACCAATGATTGATGAACAGGTACCTACTCTATCTGGTGTCAACGAAGGCTATAATGGCGATCCTTCGTTCTTGTCGCACGCTCATCTAGTCGAAAATGCGTTAGGGGCGACCTTTGCAGCCTCCGATTTCGCAAACGAAGGAGCTCTAGATACTCCTTCAATACTCTCCCCATTACTCACCCCGCAGAGGATTGCTGAGTTACTTCACGGTGCAGATACGGGTAAAGGTGTTGCTTCGGATCACACAACCCCTGAATTTCTTCCTCAGCCGCATGATCCGCCTCCCAGAGATATTCCACTTCCACCAATAGACCTTGTTCTTAAGCTTCTGCGTATGAGCAAAGTCCTCAAACAGCGGTTCTTCGTCGACATTCCCACATTCGAAGAGGGTGAATTCATTGATCTATGCCGCGGCGTTTACTTCGCAACTGAGCCGGTCTCAATTTGGAAATGGATCTGTGTTAACGTCGGTCTTTACTACCTCTTTCTAGGTGCTAAAGAAGCCGATTGTGAATACATAGGCACAACCGTGGAGGTGTTGCGTTTCCACACCCGGACAATGAAGGCAAATGCCGAAACAGCGATGCAGAGTCTTCGTCTGTGCTCAGAGCCGTCGATGGAATCATGTCGCGCTTTGGTTCTTCTTGTAAGTGTTCTAGTGGCTCAAGTGTGAAGATGATTCTGACTACCTAGTCAGGGGGTCTTCTACGTCAAGGAAGGCCATAGCGCGATTGCATGGAGACTAGTAAGTGCTGCTGCAAGGGCATGTTTAGACTTGGGATTTCATCGTTTGCCTAATTGCCCAGACAACGAGGAGGTGCTTCGACAAAGTAGAATATTTTGGCATACCTATTTATGGGACAAAGGGTTGGCTCTGACTTGTGGGAGGACACCCGTTATCCATCATTATGACGTGACAAATTGTTATCCGGTCAACTCAGACTATCTGCGTATGATGCCGGGCAGGTAAGTTGCTCCAATGCTTAATATAATAGTGGTGCTAACTCTGGTAGGGTATACGCCGGTCTACTTGACTATGCCGTCGTTGCGGGGGAAATCCAGAGAAAGTTATTTTCTGCATCAGCACTGCGTGCTCCGCAGCAGAAGCGTGTCCAGTATGCTAGAGAATTTGCTAGCAAGCTTCTGAAAATCCAAAAATCCGTTGCAGCCGTACGAATCCCACGTAGCTTACTTGTGGTACATTACTAACGTCACTAGATACCTGAGGATGATCCAATTTGGGACAAGGTGTTCTTCGCTGCCGCAGTCTTGCTCGATATTAAGATGTACTGCCTCCTTACTATCGTGTATAGAATACTTCCGCCTAGTTCTGTACAATCGCATCCACTGCAATGCTCAGATGAGTGTGTAGAGGCTGCACGTACGGCACTATCCAAGGTCGTGGAAGCGGGTGAGCGTGTGCTACAAAAAGACCCTTTTGGATGGTACATGTTTTTAAATGTGTAAGTTAACCCCCAGATATCATTGTTTTGTGTTTAACACTGTAGTATAGCATTCTATCCCTTGTACCATTTGTACCTTTCATCGTACTGGCCGGAAATGCCATATCTACGTCCTCTAGTACCGACCTAGCTCTACTCTCTTCAGTCCTATCTGTTTTAGAACCACCAGCGGCGGATTCTCCGACTGCTCGAAAGGTTTATAATGCTTGCGAGAGATTACATCGTATCGCTAGTGCCCTGGTATCAAGTTCAAACGAGACCCCATTAAATCCCAAAGAGTACCAAGAACAAACCCCTAATGTCGGTTTGCCTTTCAATGACCCAACCGATGAATCTGATACACATAGTCGTACACTTCCAAATAACTTTGATTACTTGTTTCCGATGGCGCGACAAGACTGGGATAGTGTTATGACCGGGTTTGAGTCAGAATTAGGAGGCTACGACTCTAGAGCCTTGACAAACATTATGGAGCCCTACATCGCAGATACGGGTTGGTGACCCAAGCGCTTTGTAGAGTGATGTAAGCTTTTTGAAGCTTAAATGAAAGATGGAAACGATAATCTGAAAAGTCACGCCGAGTCTTTGGGCAATTCTAGGACTAGAACTGGTGCCAAGTAGTATTGGCTGAAGCTTGGGTAGTCGCCAGGATACGGAGTTTTGGTCAATCCGCCGTAGGCCTTCCAAGTTCAAACAAATCCTTTTCATGAATTTAAATATCCGGGGGGTTGGTAAGGCTCATGCAGTAAATAACGTAACATGCATGTAAATACTCAAGAATGATAAAATATTAAACATATCTTGCCGCGCTGGACTAGTTGTGGCGATGTATTAACCCCGACTTTTTTCTTACTTACTTCACTGGGCCAAGCTTCTGATGTGCCTCAATAACGTATTAATCATGAATACCTACCTCGTCGTGTACCATAACCAATTAAATAGGGGTATATCTTCGAATTTTGATAAGTCCCTTTGAATAGTTTGTATACCCCTTATACAAGCACCCTGAAGTCTTTAGTAGTGCTGACAACCATGGATCTAACTTCAAATGCTAAGTCGCGAGTCTCGGGATTCAAAGCGAGTATCGCAAGTCATGAATGGGTTTCTGATGAGTATATTAGACGACAAGTTCGTGTATCTTAAGACAGGATGATACTGATCTATGATACATGCCAGTTATTCAGATAAATAGCCACCTACATCCCTCATCTAACCTATCAGATTAGAGACTCTTAATCATACATAATAAGCGCAATTGCAATCATGTCTGCACCACCAGTCCTCCTTTTCCTAGGCGCCGGAAAGAAACTCGGCACCCTAGTTCCTGCTATATTCGCCGAAGCAGGATACAAGATTGCCGTCGTTGCGCGGACGCCAAAGGAGGAGTTCGAGAAGCGCGGATATTACCAAGTCCAAGCTGACTTCAATAACCCCGAGAGTATCCCGGAAGTCTTCGCCAAGGTCCGGGAGAATGTCGGGATCCCGACAGTTGTCGTGTATAATGGTATGTCGATTCCTTACTACCTCAGGAATACTGTCTAATAATCGCATCGTTGTACCTAGCTGTACAATATACTCTCGATGACCCAGAGGACCCTTTTGCGTCCCTTGCGCCAGAGAATGTCTCGCGGTTTCATTCCGCCGTCGCTGTAAACGGCACTACTCCACTTATTGCAATTGAGCATGCCGTTCAGGCCTTCAGAGCTCTCCCCCCTGGCACACTCGGGAAGTCCTTTATTTTCACTGGGAATGTGCTCAACCACAGTCAATTTAAGAATCGTCTGTGCTTTGGAGTTGGAAAGACCGTAGCCGCCTACGGAGTTAGATACGCGTCAGTGGCTTATGCGAAGGAAGGTTTCAAGTGAGTATTCTTAACTTTTATATAGTTAACCTATCGTTATTGCAAACCTTATGGGACGTGACGAGTTTAGCTTTGGACCATACATATGAAAATTTGATCTTTCTAAGTTTGATCTGTGTTAACTAACGAAACTTTATAGGTTCTACTATGCTGATGAACGCTCCGAGGAAGGGCTTCCTGTAATGCGAGAGATTGATGGACTCGTAGCTGGGAAAGAATATCTCAAAATTGCTGAAGCGCCAGAGCAACTTCCCTGGCTGTATACATACACCACAGAGAGTGGATATAAGGACTTTGGAGAAAAGGACTACCTGAAGACTGTTGATACCAACGAATCTCGGTTCTTAAAGGGGGGGCGATGAGTATCTAAAAGCTTAGGCAATTATGATACTCCTTCATGATACGCACTAAAATCATAGACTGGAAGATTTAGCTATCAACCATGCTCACAAACATAAACATGCTCACAAACATAATAAAGATAACTCATATGACAAGAAAATCTTCTTCGTAGCTCAACTTTAAGTTTACTCGTCAGCTCCTCATAAACTGCTTTAAACCTTTGATTTTAGACACGTAATACGCACGGCCGATGTCAATGCGGGTTATGAGTTGTGCTATTTGCAGATTACCTTGACAGTCCTTCCATACAGATTACCCCACAGAACAAGTATATGCACCTTTTACTATTAATTTTGGTTGCCGGCTACTTACACCTGTTCTGTGGGGTAATCTGTATGGAAGGGCTAGCAAGGTAATCGGCAATAGCACAACTCTAAATAAGAGGGTATATATACAGCGTACAACTCCCACCCTGAATTCTCCTCCTATTTCCTTCTTTCTGTACTAGGAATTTGAAACCAGCAGAATCATCTACTACAACTAATTCACTACAACACAACCACCACGAATAATTCACTTTAAACAATCCACTACACATAACTGCCTAGAGACAATTCACCATCAGTTAACTATTCAATATTAACTACCGTTACTATTCATTACGGATTATTCACCATCAACTATCCACCACGAATTATTTGCTACTTGAAAGAATACGAGTACGCGTTGATGCTTGTGTGTATTATTGTGTGTGTATCTAGGGTTGTGGAGACTTCTATGTCTATACGGTTACCCTACTACTACGGCAGAATACGTACCAACTACCGTAACTTCCTCAACATACATGCAAGCATTGCTAAGGCAACTGCTTTCCACACTACTAACTACCTCCTAGGTGGTAGTTACTTCGAGTTATTCGCTAAGAATAAATTCACCTACAATTATTCGCCATTATCAGGCACTCACTTTACGTTACTTACTACGAACAACTTACATACCTTTAATTATCCATCACCAGCTATCCGCGTCTATCTAATTACCAAGAATAACTTACCTTCAATTATCCACCACTGGCTGTTGGCTACGAGTTATCCCAGCGAATCATTTACCATCGAATATTCGCTACCAAGTTCTACGTATAAACTACGACAAGTCATATGTAAGTACCGAAGATTTAAATGCGTAACCTTACGTAGTTGAAATATCGTCTTGTATAGACACTGAGCTAATACATCTGCAACACAGTGAGTTAAACCTATAAAGCTACATCTGTGATAGTTACAAATTATTCACCATCAATAATTCACCAGCACCAGCAACACGTCAGCTACTACCATTAATCTACTACCTACCGGCATCAAGATGGCATCGAAATTCACTTCCCCATCTGGCTTGACAACTATCCTAAGAGAACTAAGAGGTCTTATCTACGACAACCTTGAGGACGAAGATATCGCGCCCCTGGCACAGACTTGCCAGCAGATACGTAGTGAAGTCTTGTCTCGCATGCCAGGAGGTCGCTTTATCGACTTTGGAAGAGCTCATGATCACTCAGAACTCAGACGCCAAGTTGAAAAATCTATCGAAGTCAAGAAACTCGATCTTATCGCCGAACCGTGGTACTCTTCTGGATCAGCACTAAAAGTCGGAGTCACCTGGAAACCGAAGAATGAAGACTCTATACGCTGGAGGACTTCATACTGGACTATCCGCGATGGTTCTAATTTGGCAGTGCCATATAGCGGTACGAAAACCGCTAGGCAAACAGTGCGCGATCTACTCTTGAGCAACTTTCAGGATCAGATGGCAAATATTATAAAGTATTACCCCGCAGCCTTCCTGAAATTTGATCTCTTCGGTCAGCTTTGCGCCATGGTATGGGAGCTGGAAGACCTATCGTCGCCAATGGCGCGGTACATATACCTATATCACCCCAAGGCCATTTCTGTCACATTTCAGGCAGCTTATAAAGGATATTTCCTACTTGCCTTAATAATCCTACGGACAAAAATGTTTGACATATGCCGAATTCTCAAGACTATGGGCCGCGATCTACCCTTCACAATTCCCACTTTGACGACTATACAATTTTGCGGTGGGAGAGATCCGGTTCGCCCTAAATTGGTTCGTAGGGCCTTCTGGGAGATGCGGCCACAAATCAATCTCCCGAATTGGATGATGCGCCAGGATAGACGGAAGCGCGGGGTCATCCAAAAGTCGAGCCAGGCCATGAGAGCTTTATCCTTTCTTTTATGAGTGTTTAATGCTTCCCCTACTGTCATATGGTGGGAGCAGCGGCGTGGACATTAAATTTGATCTGGCATACCGTCTTGAATTCCCCAATCATTTCAAGATCCACGATGTCATATCTGTTGACCACCTCGAACCAGCACCATCAATGGACGTATTCGGAAGACAACTACCCCATCCGGGCGAAGTCACATTGGAGACCCATCAATTGCCACCTGGCCGTCAACGAACTTCTTTTCAAAACCACACGCTTCCCCGCCCCATAAATCCTCAAAATCATAATTTAAACCCTGACGGGTTACAAATAGAGTATCTTGGCTTCGAGGGACTGCGCGATTTCGCAGAGTTCTGCTATCATCTCCACCTGGATCACATCGATTATTCCAGAGACGACTATAGCGACAACTTTGAGGATGTCATGGAGCGCCTAGAAGAATTTACGGACGACATCGATGCCTTCTTGAAAAATGCTAGATGTAAGGAGGCAGACCAGTTACGATCATATCTGAGAAGGATGAGGCAAGCACCGACTTGCAATCCTTTCGCTGGACCACTGGAGGAGGCTATCATAGCGTTGTATCTGGATGGATGTCAGGGTATAGTGGGTCGGGTGGCTACAGGGGTCTGTCTACGACTATATAAGAGGCGCGAAGCGCCCTCGTCAGAGGATAGAAGGCCAGACGTTACTAGTTCAATAAATCTATTACTTGGTCTACCTACCCTCGACACTGACTTTGTGTATAACTAACCTCAACGGGCATTAATCCTGACAATGGAGAGCGAAATAAGAATGATGGACACCACCACAGTAAGAAGACTGATTATATCGTGATGACTTATAACGTGATTTGTACTTCGCTTCCCCTATTGCCGTATCCAATATTCCCAATTCATAGCGCTATATTGAACGATGGTGATAATGCGAGCGTCGATGTCGTTAGTAAATCCTGATTCACATAGACCCTGGATCAACCCTCTCGAAAGTGTTAGTCACCTCTTAAATTTAAACCCACGCTGTCAAGGGGGATAAGAATAAAGCACAATGAAAACTCTTCGTCGCTATCCCCTATCCTACATTCTGGCGTCCATCGTCCAATTGTTATGTTAGGTTTCCATCCTTTTCCTCAAACATCTTAACCTATTGTCATGTCATGGCTTATACCCTTGATGGATGTCATACATAGAGCGAATGTTGGGATGTATAGTATTGAACTAGTAACGCCTGCGTTTATAGTGTACCCTCTTACGAGGGCGCTGCGCGTCCCCTATATAGTAGATATACCCCTATAACTACCCCTGACCCACTTGTACCCTGACATGTCATAAGGTAGAGCAAGAAGCAAGATCAAAGTCCCTATAAATATAAAAATTACATACGTCATGACTTTATGTACGTCCTTTACATCTTTCAGAGTATAAATGAAGCAAAGAATAGCATCGATAACTCTCGCCCTCTCGGGCTGATCATTGTTTTCACTAGTTATTAGGTAATACATAGATCTTGACGTGCTACGTATACGGATGGTTACACATATCGCGAGCAATGGCTTTTAAGGCGGCTGAATCTTAGGCCGTGACACAACTTACAAGTCGAGTGGCGTTTCGTTCCTGCAGTTCTACTGGATGCGGTAGGTATACTAAATAATTAACGGCTAACCGGATGTAGCCCACTGCTGGAAAGGGCAACATGAGGCTCCCAGCTCAATGTGTCAGTGGCGTTAGGAATACATACATTTTGTGCGATGGGATTCTCACCGGAGTAGAAATCCTCGCAGTTTTCACCTTGTCATTTCACCGCTCTGCCACTTCAGTCGTTATGTAGGTACTCCGTGCGAGCCTCCTAAATGCCGCGTAGATATGACATATCATTATTTTAGTCCGCCGTAAGTGCTCATCAAATGTTAGCTGAATGCGGCTAGGCTTTCGGCACCTTCGGTGAACCTCCAAAGGAGTACCTACGGAGAGATGCCGGCGCGCGACATTATGTTAACCACAATAACTAGTTAATGGTTATTCAAAACAAAACACTAATAATATCATAGTTAATCTCTTACCGTCTTACTATAGTCACCCAACTAATTCAAACAGGAATACCTATATAAGCCCATCCGGATAGAGCTTATCCGGCAGAAAAGATAAGTGGATTTGAAGGAATTCAATGCACCGCACCGAAAATGTACACGCGAGTACGAGTAGAGGTACGCCGAGGTACGTACGTGGGCTCGATCCTCGGATCATATTGGCCGAGTTCGATGCCGGTTTCGCAGCTAGCTCGACCCTCCACCCCTGCAAACTGCGGATCTGATAACTTTGTCCGCCCCCTCCCGCCCCACCGGTTCGATACGTATCGGTTCTTTGGCGGGGGGCGCGTTGACGTGATCACCGCTTTTTCGCCTTTTTTCGCTTCTTATCAGATCGAACTAGCTATGTAACTAGTGGAAATGAAACATCGAAACCGACCGGACACGACATCCATTAGGTAGGTAAGGTACATAGGCAATTTAGGCCCTACTAGCCGAAGCTGGTAATCACGCGTTTTGTCAGAGAATACTTGGGTTGCATATCATTGACTTGGTAAGCTTTGAAATGGGAATTAAAAAGTTAATTAACTACCTCCTAGGTAGGTACTGAGTATATAAAGTGCAACTTTTTAGATACAAGGGGAGCATCTGTCCTCCTTGGCATTTTGGTACGGAATAGAATGGATCCAATCGTGATTATCGTTCCAAGTCCCCAAGTTTACTAAATTTATTCGGGCTGTCTTGGTATATACATATGACTAGGGTCTAGCTTGTTATCATTTTCGATCTTTAATTTCTTTACCTCGTCGATATTTTGTTTTGTTTTTTCTTTTAAATCTCTGTCTCACCTATCAGCCTATTCTCTATTCTTCCAGACCCTATTCCGTGTACCGACAAGCTGATATTGGCACTGACTGACCCCTGACTTTGCTCTCCTTTTCACACTCCCTCGCTCAATTTATAAACGCAGCTAGCCGTCCGCGTGTGAGGTAGAAAGGAGAATCAAAACTTTTGATGTTGTGGCGTTCAACTATTGTCAATTGCTTTCAATACCTGAATACTAGATTCTCAACTCGGCCTTTAAAATACTCTTGTATTCTTTCTTTCGCCGCAACCGCAGCGACTCCAAAGCTACACCCCACCGGAATTAATTCTCCGCCACCAAGATTCGCAATGGCCTCCCATTTTGCCAGCATCAGCGGCGCTCGCTCTAATGCTAACCCCTATAGGGTTTTGATTGCTGGTGGCTGTTACGGCGGCCTGGCTGTGGCCGTTAATTTACTCGAAAAGTGCGACACTATCGAGTCTCCCATCCCGGTCGAGATCACCATTGTTGATGAGCGCGATGGTTTCTGTACGTAGAACCCTTTCGTCTCCCTGCCTCTCATGCATGCATTAAATACTCCAACTCGGTCCCCTTCTTCGATTGTGGTTAGACTCTGGATTTCCAACTGACTTGTGGTTTCGCAGACCATGTAATTGGTTCACCTCTTGCTTTGGCGTCGAATAGTTACGCGGAGAAGGCCTGGGTAAACTTCAAGGATATCCCCGTGCTGCAGAGACCGGACGTACGGTTCGTCCACGGTACTGTCAGCAAGGTCGATTGCGAGAACAAGACAGCAACTATTGTTGAGCAGCCAGATCAAGTATCGCGGGATGAAGTGTACGATTTCTTTGTTGCCTCCACTGGACTTCGACGTGTCTGGCCTGTAGTACCGCAATCGGCGAGGAGAGAGGACTATCTTGAAGAGGCCCGTCGGCACATCGATGCCGTAACCAACAGCACCGCGCCGGTACTCATTGTTGGCGGAGGTTAGTTCACCTATTCCTATCACGTCGATTTTTAAAACCCCTTTCTAACGTGTGGATAGGCGCTGTGGGTATTGAGATGGCGGCTGAATTAAAAGAGGTTCAACCTAACGTCAAGGTTTCGCTGGCGCACTCTCGGGCCAAGCTACTGTCAGCTGAGCCGCTCCCTGATAACGTCAAGGACTGCGCGCTAGATCTGACAGAGCAAGCCGGCGTCGATGTGCTCCTAAACCACCGATTGAAGAGTAAGACTCCGGTGAAGGATGAGAACGGGACCGAAGTGTTCGAGGTCGAGTTCGAAAACGGCCACAAGATGATTGCGAGCCAAGTTGTCATGGCCATCTCCCGCAGCGTACCGTCGACCACTTATCTCCCCGAGGATTCACTCAGCGAGGACCGTTACGTCAACATCAAGCCAACTCTGCAGCTCTCTTCGGACAAGGTCCCCAATGCCGAGTCTCACTTTGCTGTCGGTGATCTGATAAACTGGTCGGGTATTAAGCGCTGCGGTTCAGCCATGCACCAGGGCCGCTACGCGGGGTTAAACATCCACCAGCTCATGCTGCAAGACATACAAGGCAAGGAGCCCGTGTTCAATGAGTTAGGTGAGGTTCCGCCCATGATCGGCCTCGCTGTCGGCAAGAACGCCCTTTCGTACGGCGGAGATGGCATGAAGCACGGAAAACAGGTGATGGAATGGTTCTTCGAGGAGGACCTAGGTTTCCGAAGTAAGTCAACCCACCACAGGCATATCTCACATTCAAACCCTAGTGCTTATTAGCCGATAACTAACATTTTCCTTGTTTAGTCGTCTGGGATCATCTTCGTCTAGGTGGTATTAAGGCGTGAATGGACTAAAAGCCTTTTCTGTGCTTTGCTTTGACTGGGGTGTACTGGCGTTAGGTATTGGGGTTCTGGGACAAAATGATTTGACGATTTTCGGGACGATTTTCGCGGGTATCTTACGACCGCATCACGAAAATTAGATAGCTCTTATTAATACGTTGTTAATATGAGTAAACTTTCTCAATCCGTTAAAATGTATATATAATAGATATGTATTTGGTATATCTGATGCATTTATGATAATCTGAATGAATCTTCAAAATAAATAGGAAGGAATAGAAAGAGGGTACATAAGATAAATCCATATAAGGTATAGACGCCCCCTAAAAACGATAAGCGTACCTACCTAATCAGCTCGAGGCTTTTCTTCTCCTCCCCCCTCTTCCTCCTTCCACGACGCCATACCACGTGACAAGATCTCTACCACAACATAAATCTTACAAGTTACAATTTACAACTTAGGGAGCAATCCGACCAAAGTGCCACCAACAGCTTTCTCACTCTCTCCAAGCGGAGCGAGTTGGAAGAAGCGCTCGCGAGAGCACCGCACGAACGCCGAACGCTTATGCGGTAGGTCGACGAACTTGTCGAGTCCGAAGCCGTGCATAAAATCGTACGCCAGGACCGAGCTGTTGGTGTATTTCGGTTCGCCAACAACGTACATCGTGCGCGGGTCGTCCAAGAATAAATAATGCATCAAGCTAGACCACCAAGCCGTCACGCGGTGCGGACCACGGAATCGTATATCCCCCACCAGCGAGTGTCGTCCTCGATCGAAATCTCCCGCGCTGTAGTACGCGCCAAGTCGGTCTTCCTGTAGGTAGAAAAATAGTTAGCGTTTGGGTATGATGATGACCGAGTCGCGCTAAGCTTTGTCTTACGTACCTTAGCCCAGTACACTTCAAAGTAAGCAAAAAATGTGTCGTTGAAGGCAGCTAGCAACGTGATCTGGTGGGGATCGACGTGGGCGCGACGTAGGTACTCGCGATGCTGCTCAAGGGAACCTGTCTCATTCCATCCCTGCGAGACGCGCGGGTCGTTTTGCCAGTTATGGAATAGCTCTAGGTGCTCCGGGTTCTCCCAGTCGAGCGCGACCATGCTGAAGTTCTCGCGCAGGTGAGGGATCCATCGGCTGTACACCACGGAGCCCGGGCGTGGCTTTGCGGGTCGTCGCGGGTGCCACGCGGGTGTTCCGCTTGCTTCGGATGTCATGGCGTGTTGGAGTGGCGTTAGGGGATAGGCGGAGAGTGGTTTTGGCAACGAATTGCCGTTATCTTGAGGATCATTGCTGGAGTCGGGAACCCAGACGCTGCGCGGTCCGAACGGCGAGCCGGCGCCCTGCCAGAAGGTGCTGCGCAAGACGAGCAGCTCGTCGCTCAACCCAGCTGCTGTGGGGTGGTCGATTGCCAGTAGAACGGCTTTGAGTTGTGCCACGAGCGCTTCACGGCCGGGTCCCTCGAGCGTGAGCCGGAGCCCTTCTGTCGATGGCCGTACCGTGAATAGTACGTAAATTACGAGCCAGGCCTGAGCTAATGTGGGTGGTGTCGCGACGTCCCACGCAATTGTTGAGCTCGGAGAGCGGCGGGCGCGGCCCCATGGTGTGTTATTGGATTCGGCCGGCCGCTCGCTCGACTTAAGGTCCGCGGGCTCGGTGAAGAAGAGCGTGTCGTTGTCGAGACGTTCTGGTAACGGTTTCGTTTTTGCTTTTGTCTCGCCAGCAGCGTCTTCTTGGGGTTTCACTTGGAGCCAAGGAGTAGTAGAGTCTGAGGGGCGCGACGTCTTAACGAGTGTGTAGGACGTAAGGTACGGATGTGGGAGCTTGAGCACCGGCTCGTTCGTAGAGGGTGTCGCCATTGCTAAGGTAGGAATGGGGTGTAACGTAATCTACAAGTACGAATTAAGTATCTAATGGGCATCAATTGGAGGCGTTTTTCGATGTTTCTTAGGAAGAGTACTTGATTACTCGAAAAAAAAAAGTACTGGAAAGGAAATTTCTTATTCGCAATGAGAATCTATGATCGTTCCCCTTCCTGGACAAGCAGGCGTACTGGCAAAGCAAATGGAGTAAATTGACTAGTCTACCGAGTTATTCCGCCAGAATCCTAGTCAACCAGTGTATTGCTCTTTTTGTGAGTGAATCATTATCGTCTGCCAAGTACCCTGAAGTACAATACCTTGTTCAATGGTTCTCAAAAGGTAGGTATCCTTGATTCCCACTTTCCATCTCCGTGTAAGTGTATAGCTAAGTAGAGCATTATTACCATGCTCAAACTTTTTTTTTTTTTTTTTACACGCTAATGCAAGAGATCGCGCGGTCAACGTCAACGTGTCTCAACTATTAGCCAGCCCATGTTGACGTGCTGCCATCCAGCCGAGAGGTGATCTAGCAGGGACTGCGGAGATTGGGAAGGTTGAGTACTGGGGAGGGTGGCAGCAAACCGAAACCATGGCTCTTGGCAGTCTGCAGAAGCGGATCAGATAACTTTAAGCGGATGGATTGGAAGACGTAAACCGTGGTAACTTTGGTAGTGGTGTGTCACGGCTAACGGCGGATCAGATAAAAAATTTAGCTGGGAATTTAATAGCGCGTCCGAGAAATGCTGTGGGGCGGACACGGATCTGATAAATATTTCTCGGACCGATACCGGCCTCGAAAGGTACAGGTACCAGACCTAGGTACATAAATTATCTTTAAAGGTACATGATCTAGTGCCGTCATTAGTATCTACTGTATCTTTCCTTTATATAGTTTAGCTCTTGTCTTAATGATAAGGGTATACCTATCCGTAATTCACAAGTCGTTCTAGCCTTCAAATGAAGTAGGTTAACGTTGCACAATATATAAGGCGTAATTGCTCGTTAGCAATTACGGCGTTGTTTTTTCGCATTCGACAGTTAATAAATTACAATTGATTGTATATCGTTTAACACTATAACTTGGAACTAATTAACGTCACCCTCATAGTAGTTGATCCCCATTGTCATCATGAATCCTTTTAAGTTGGCGTGATAATTGGCATACGCATATGATATTAACATAGCTAATGACTTATTGCTTTGGAATTGTTGGAAGTGCAATGGCGCGCTGGCTGCGTGCTAGCTATACGGTAGCTTACGTAATCTCTATAGGCGTATATAAGCGTCGTCTCTTTCAGAGACAACGCACTTAGAACTTAGACTCTATCATTATCAATAGAATATATCTCTCTCACTGTTACCTCGCGCCTACAGCGCACCCATATCTGTCGATAGAAAACTCTAACGTTAGACCTTGTCCGCCGACAGGAATTAAAAATAGTTCTAATACACATGTTGTTAATTCCTTAAAATTGGTAGTACCTCTCTTACGTGTATAGCAACTATCCAAATTATCTTAATTATAATTGAGGCGGAAAAGGACATACGTGTAACCCTCTATCTCAAACCTGGACCTATACATGTATATGACCAAGACGCCCACGTAAATTCGAAACAAAATAGAAGAGTCGCCATTCTACCTTCAGCCAAGTCCAACAATCAAAGTTAGGGATACTACCAGGCAAAGGTTTATGGGACTTCTATTGTCAATAAGTAGTTCGATAAGTCATACGTAACCATATTTCCGTTAGGAGCTTTCTTCTATGTTCTTATTTTTCCTTATGTCAGGCGGTACTCTAGCTCTGTTCCCCCTTGGGGAGTACTCTAGACGTCTAAAGCGCCAAATATGCGCCGCTGTATCTACGTAGGTAGCATATAGCAGACCAACAGACGTAAACGTTATCATCATCATCATCCGTTAGGAGCTTTCTTCGTGACATTAAAATGATGGCCTCCCGTATAGTCGGTAGGTATACTGTCAATATATGTACCAAGCCAAGAGTACATGGAACATACCGAGGGGTTCAAGAACGTCGTCTCGATATTGAAAGTCACGGTTCGTGAGGAACTGTTTAATTACCATACAAGATGCTATAGGCGTTCATACGATTGTAACTGACGCTAGACGAAAATAACTAGCAATGTTAAAGGAGTCCTTTGCAAAAGCTGTATTCTGGAGGTTACATTGTTTAATGCCAATGGTGATATTTATTATCATAAAAATGCATCCCTTTATACTATACACATTTCACCTTCCTTACAGCTTCAATACTCTCCCTGTGCCGTTTACTCCTAAAACTACAGCTCTGTTATTAATATTTTACCTAGACAAAATACCTAGAATAAGGATACTTTCAGCATGCATAGGTATCTACCTAGGTAACTACTAGCTTCCATAGCCCAAGTTCGGGATTCCTAACATCACGACAAAGTTGTTTCAAGTTTCCACGTCTTTTAGACCCGCCTCGTGTTAGTTGTACCTGCCAAAATCGATGGATACCTAAGAGAGTAAGTTATCTCGAGTTTCGAGGAAAATAAAAAATCATTCGTGTAGCCAAATGGAAGGGAAGGCTTCGAGCAGTAAGGTAATGATTAAAACTTCTAAGATATGGGCTTGAGTACCGGGGTAATTTAGAATAATTGATACTGCAGAGCTACCTGTTGCTACCAAATCATTTCAGATCATATCATTACTGATGCCCTTATCGTGACACCGAGTTGTGTGCGGTATACGGCTGCCTGCCAACTCAAATTTGACTGGTGGCCTGCGACAATAACCTTGGTGATAGCGGTATCCTAATTCATTCCATATCTTATTCAAAGCCTACGCAACAACCCATTTATAAAACCCTGACTCTTCGACTTCAGAAATTATACCTTCTTTTGATTTATTATCATTATCATAGCTTCATACGTTTCAGGATGCCTGAACCAGACTTGTCCCTCCCGCCCAAACCGCCGCCAGTGGCTAACTTCAGCTCGCCGATTAGTTCAAATATTCCTCAGAGATCTTCAACAACTTCCGCACCTTGGCGGGTAACGCCTTCAAGATCAGTAGCAAGTCTTTACTCTCAGAATCCTATTCGATACCCGGCCTTTGTGCCGTCTCCTACTCCTGCAACTTATCAGCTGTCTCCAACCCCGAGCACTTGGAACCAGACACCTTTTAGCTTCACGCCACTTCAAGGTATCCCTTCGCCATCGATACTTCCGTTAGGCGGAGTGACTGCCTTGCATAACACGACCCCATCGCCTCAACTTCAATCGCCTGCAAATGACGTTATTGCCCAGCGAGGACGTCAGAGAAAGCGCGACCCAAGGATGCTTCCTTCTGCACGCTCGCCTTCTTATCGTTGGCCACGTCCACGTCTCACGGGGAAGACTCCTCCCTGGAGAATTAATCGGCGCAAGGCTTACGTGAGTCCGAATCCGTTCCAAACCCCAGAGCAATCTCGTACGCCCCTGGAAAATATGACCAAGCATAATACATCGCACGATGAAACCATGCCGTCAACATATTTACAAGGTCATTCAGATAAAATATCCCTTCCAAATGCAGAATACATTGAAGCCGCAAATGTTGCACAGGTATTATATAACGAGGTACTCACCCCTTTTCAATAAGTCAAATTTCTAACTGAATCGTGGTATTAACTTGAACAGCAGCAGGAAGCCTGCGAGGACGGCACCGACCCCATCCGTCGATTATTCGACTTGTATCTGGACAACGGCGTGAACTATCTCAACGACGAGGAGCAGGAATTGCTGTGCAGCTACATTACTCCGGAGAAGGAAGACCAACGAGACCTGGTGTACCGCTTGGTAGAGCAGATCCTCTGGTATAACCGCCTCCCTCGGCTCACGTATAGACTCGCGAATTGGATCAGTGTCCGAGACAGAAACTGCGAAGTCGTTTTTAGGTTGCTCAACGAACGCTTAAACCTGCCAGACCCCGACGAGGAGAAACGTACGTTGATGTCTCTGGAAGAAGTCGACGAGCTCATGGACTGTCAGATTGCTATGGATGGTTACAAGAAATGGGTAGAGGAAGGTGGTGAAGAAGGTTCAGGAAGCTAGTACACGCACAGCCTAAGCACATTACTCGGGAACGATGGTTGGGAAAGAACATTAGTCGTAGAAAGCCAGTAACGAAATAATAAAGAATAAATAAATAAAGATTCGCGACGAGGATCGATGGTGATACCTACAAGTTGTATATGCCTTACAGATAATATGAATATCGATTCTCCTTCGCAGATAGCAACAATCTACAAGGGTCACCAGACATGGATCGGATATCTCTTTAGAAAAATAGCAATCAAATTAGTATTATAAGTAATGATACAACACCTTAACTTATACATTCAATATTGTGTATCAATGCTACTTTTGACTAACCCCTGCCCCTTTTCGCTAGCTACTTCGATAAAGACCAAATTTGTATAACGACCGGCCGGTATTGATGACTCCTTAGTTTCCATATTACCAAGTACATATCCTAACCATAGATCTAGTTGAAGAGCAGCGAGAGTTTACTCCCTGCCAATGGGCTTCGGCTCCGGCACGTAATCCATAGTACCACCTGTATTCAAGATCCACAATTGGCCGGGATTTTCAGGGATTTCGCCTCCGTACAGGAAATTGTTAGGGAATCCCACATCAAAAGGAATCGCAGACTCGATTTCCTTGATATCCTCCGCAGATAGTTTGATATTTAGGGCCTCGATGTTTCCCTTGAGGTGGTCGATAGTGCGGCCCCCGACGATGGGAAACACGTAGGGTACCTTGCTGGAAACATAGGCCAGAGCAATACTCGTGATTTGAGTGTTCTTTCGCTTGGCAACTGCTTCGAGCACCTTGCTGACTTTGATTTCTTCCTCGGTGGCTTGGACCTTTCGGCCGGCAGCACTGTTGCGCTGCTCCTCGGTCTTGAACTTCCCGCCCCCTAGAGCTCCCCAGGGAGCAATGCCCATACCTTCGGAACGGCACATGGGGATGATCTCGCGCTCGAAGTCTCGCTGAGCCGCACTCCATCTGCCCTGGTACACGCTAAACTGCCGGAGGCCGTTTTGGCGGGCGTACTCGTTGGCTTTGCTGACAACCCAAGCGGGCGTGTCGCTTACGCCTAGGTGAAGCACTTTGCCGGCTGCGACGAGATGGTTGAGCGATTGCATCACCTCGGGGATACTGGTAGAAAAGTCCCACCAATGTACGTAAAGCTAAGAACGCCGTATTAATTATACAAATCAGGGAATTAAAGTGAGTAGCGACGGACTTACCAAATCAATGTAGCTGGTCTGTAGTTTTTCCAAGCTGGCATGCACCGAAGTGTGGAGACTCTTAGACCCATTGCCAGTGAAATTGATCATAATCTCCCCCTTACCACGCGGTCCGGCGTGGAAGTTGATCGAAAATTTGGTCGCGATGACCATCTGGTCTCGGTTACCACGTTTCTTCATCCATGCCCCAATGCGCTTCTCCGACTCCTCGAACTGGTAGTTATTTGCCGTATCGATGAAGTTACCCCCCTGGCTATAGTAATAATCGAGGATGTCTTCAGTGGTTTTCTCGTCACACTCGCCCACTAAGAATTGTGGCGTTAATAAATATCACTCCCGTGAAACATATGAGTAGACGAGTCTTAATCTTTTACAATAGGACGAGCGTCGTCACTTACTAAAGTCTTTCCAAGCATCCCCGAAGTTCATAGCACCCAGACATAGGGGGCTGACACGGATCGACGCCGTAGGGGAGAGTATGCGGTAGCGAGCTAGAGGGGATTGGGGTTCTGGCGCCGGTGGTAACGCTACGTTTCGAGACATTTTCTATAATTTATAACAGCGAGTGATGGTTGTACGGGTATTGATAGGGGGAAGTATTGGCTCTGGGTGATTCGATTATGGACGTAGCTGCTAACCACCGACGTAGGAACAGCTAAGAGGGGTTGCTGTCTTATAAGGAGAATCGAAACGAAGCTTATTAATCCTAAAGCCGATATTGTCTTTGATGGTGTACGTCAATGAAACGTAAATCGAGGGGTCGGGGTAGGACATGCAACGTCTAGGTCTAGGCGCAAGGATACTTTGCTTACCTACGGTTCACCTTACGATTTGATCGACGTATGATATTTCTGTAATGACTATTTGATAGGAATTCTATTCGCTGACCTCGAATTGTGCTTAGTATAGTAACATTCCAGACCCATAAGTCTAGTGTTAAATCCGGTCAAAAACCACAAGACCATGACCAATACTAATGTTTTTTCTATTCTTCTAAGGGTACACCGTGCCCCTCCCATATGAGTCGCAGACCGGCAATCATTAAAACCACGGATTTAATGTACACTCTTCATACTCCCGAAGTAGCTGAACCACAAATGTCCGCCGGGCAGTATTCCCTCCGAATTTATGGTGTACTGGGTTCGGATTTATGCTAGTCCCCGGAGTGGAGTGATATTTAAATAGCTATAAGCAAGATCTAACTGCAGGGTGCATATCCGAATTTTGGTACGTACATTGCTGCTAGTCGCCACGAGGGTATCCAAAGCTTCGGTATTAATAGATGCATGTATACCTTGCTTCCTTGAACATTCTACTGATGCACGGAGGTACCTAGGTACCCACATACTAAATGGAGTAAGCCAGAGGTCGTTGATTGGCCTCGAATGTCTTCCTTTTAACACCGATAAGAACATCGGTGATAGATCAACACGAGAAACGAAGGAAATAAAATAGTTAACTATTACCTAGTAGCAATTTATTACCAGACCAAGGGCCCTTTAAGCTTGTAGTATTATTAATTATTAGTAGATAACTAAGCCCTCTTTCACATCTTGCCTTATAAATCTAGATACCTACCAGAAGTTTTGCCTTAGGATCATTGCGACAACTAGAATAAAGGGGTTGGGGGATAAATATAATAATAATGTAGTCTGAGATAGGTCGATAGACTCGTGGTTATTCTTGTAATAGTCTTTACGGCTTACATCTCGCTTGGGTTATGAGTATAACCACATCCTCGATGCTCTTGTCGAAAGAAAGAAGATCTCAGTGAAAACCACCATAATTTAATCACCAAGAATCCTGTTTACCCTTTAGAAGTTAATATCATATAGGTAGGCAAGTAATTAGTTCGCGCTACGAGGTCTTGGGTTGTACCTAACACGGTTCCATTACTCAGAGTGATCAGCCATATGTCGTTACATCTGCCTCATATGCTATGGCAATACTAAGGATATATACGAAAATCCCCTCTTGCTACACAGCATGCATCTCCTTGAGTCATTGGCACTATGTATCGGACTTAGGTGATTGGCATCATGTATATCCGTATTACAGGAGAACGTATATATAAAACGACATCCAAGTCGAACTAAGACGTGCTTCTAATTTAACCTTGAAAATTTATTCGTATACCTCTCTTTTTCAAAATGTCTTCCCCAGTTTGGCTTATCACAGGCGCCTCGAATGGCCTAGGCCTCTCGTTCAGCCTTCGTGCCCTGAAGGCTGGCCACAAGGTCATCGGTGCCATGCGCAACCCAACACGGGCTGCTGAAGCCGTCAAGGCCATTGAGAGCAGAGGAGGTAAAGTGGTGCAAATAGACATGACGGAGTCTCAAGCTAGCATCCACGAGAAAGTGAAGGCAGCCGAGAAGATTTATGGTAAAATCGATATTCTAGTAAATAACGCCGGTTACTCGCTCCTTGGACCGCTTTCGGAATTTACGTACGTCTTCTGCCATTATTACTTATTTGAGGTATGCTACGCATCGTGCTTACTAGTAATTCATAGCGAGAGAGAAGTCAATACCCAGATACAGACGAACTTCTTCGGTCCAATCTATGCTATCCAGGTCAGTACCTATTACCAGATTTCTCTTTTTTCTTCCCCAGAGTTCCTACAACGATACCATTCTACAGTCAGCTTAGTCTTGTACCGATGACGTTCCAGTCGTTCCAAGCCTTTGACCCACATTGCTGCAAAAGGGGGGGTAAGCACAGGAAAATAATCACTAACTCCGTGTAAAGGCCGTTCTTCCCGGAATGAGAAGCCGTAAATCCGGGACCATCGTCAATATCAGTAGCATAGCCGGTCAAGATGCCCTTCCAACGTGTTCGCTATATGCCGGTAGCAAGTTCGCTCTCGAAGGGCTCAGCGAATCTCTAGCGCGCGAGGTTGCGGAGTGGGGCATCGACGTGCTAATAGTAGAGCCTGGCGCATTCCGGACGAACTTCCTGAAAGCCTTAGTCGCGAACGAAAAGGGCCTTCCCGAGCATGAAAAAGACACGCCTGTTGGAAAGGCCATGCAGCGTTTCCATGAGGTCGCAGGTACCCAAAGGGGAGATCCAGATAAGCTAGCCGACCGCGTCTTTGAGGTAGTAACGGGCGAAGGAGAAGCAGGTGCGCTGAAGGGAAAGATCTTAAGGTTGCCGTTAGGGAAGGACTGTTTGACACGATTGGACGCGAAGATTGCAAAGTTAAAGAGCGATGTGGATGCATCTCGGGCAATAGCTGAGACTACAGATTTATAAGGTCAGATGTACCTACCTAAGATAGGTAGTCAGTCATCGAAGCTACCTTGGAACCTATCCCAACGTTGTTTCTTTCCCGTTTCATTTTTAAATCTATCAGCAGCGCTTGCTATAGTAGGTAAATATCCCAGGGAGTTCCTAACTTTATAGACACCTATTGACCACATTCCCCTTAGATCTTGCCATATCTATAAGTTGGTTCCAAACTCTATCTGCGTAGGTATTTCTTTCTGCTAACAGTTAAAGCTGGAGCAAGTAGGCAATACCATATCTTTTTAGACTCTGGTTGTTATCTCTCTTCTACAGACGACTAGCGCGTCAGCGTGGTCTCTACCAAAAGAGCCCGCCGAGATTCAGACTCTTTCGAAGAAGAGCAAAGACAAAGAAAACGAGTCTGTACCGAGAAGACTTGCGCCAAAAGCTCGGCTCAAATTACTAATACCTAGTACCCCGGAGGTTCAATATGGCCCGATCTAATCGATGGAAGCTTCATGGTTATTCACATAGTTATTAGTTATCCCCTGTACATACATTGGCAACCCCTTTCTGCCGGTTTTCCCAATTAGTATGCATGTTCTCTTTTAGCCCAGCCCGGGCTATCCACGAGCTCGACCTTCTCCCTTCCTGTCCACACTGGCGTCTCAGCCACAAGCTCGAGCCCAGGGATCCTCGCACCACCTTGTTCGAGAGCCCATAGTGAAATACCGATATAGTTCGTGCCGTTATAATTCAGGATTCCCTCCGGCACGGGGAATACCGTCTGAGGACCGACATTGCTACTTAGCTTGCCGTATTGCCAGCCGTTTACATACAGTTGAGCCCGATAGATGCCGGATGCGGAAGTGTCGTTGGAAAACGAGAACGCCAGCGGGATGTCCCATTCATCGGATGGCAAGTTAAGGTCAAAAGAGGTCGTGTAGAAGGCAATGCCCGGCGAGTCGATACCTTCTAATGGGGAGTGGGATACCCATGATTCTGTCGGTGCTCCTGGGAGGTGGTATCCTTGGCGCTCGACGAACAACCCGCCTTCATTCAGTGGGCCACGCACGCGGTCTAGGTAATCTTCACCACCAAGGTTTCCCGTTAGCTTCCAGCTAATAGGGGTATTGGTCGCCTTGGACGTCTCCAGTCTCCACCCTAGAATTCCACGAGGCTGCTTCATTTCATCGGCGATGACCCAGTTCTCGCTTAGGCCCATATTCTCTATGACGACAGTGAGAACGTGTTCCGTCCCGGCTTCAAGGCCTGCCCCGGTGACGTCGTATTTGCCTTGATAGCTTGCGTTTGCTGGGTTTCCGCCAAAGGATGAGAGGAGGTGGTCGTCGAGCCATACTGATACGGCGAAACCGCTTCCTCCCTGGGTCCACAGGGAGAAGTTCCCTTCATTACCCGTGGCGTTGAAATGACCCCGGTACAGAAGTACTCCGGTATGGAAGCCATAATCGGAAGAGTAGGTTGAAACGGGCGCGACGAGGGGTTGGTAAGTGTTATCGGTAAACTTATGGTCCGCCTTCGTCCATAGCGAATCGTCGTATCCCTCCTGGATCTCAGGGAGCGAGTCGATGTACTTCCATTCGAGATCTTCCAGGTTTGGGACGGTAAATGAAGGGCTATTTACGGAAACGTTAGCAGTCACCGAGAAGTCTGACGACTCGGTCGAAGTTTCTACGTCGTTGACGAAAAGTTTTACCCCCGAGGTTCCTACGATTTCGACCGTGGTGGACGTGTTGAAGTCGGCTTTGATGTGTAGCTCATTGTCCTTCAGGGAAGCAGAACGTACGAGGTAGGGTCCATTGATGAGTACCTTGTCGTTTGTGTCCTCGATATCAGTGAGCCAGTAATTGTATGCCGCGTTGCGATCTGAAGATAGTGAGTTAGTAATGGAAAATGATTCCGACGGGGTAAACTAACTGAGTAGATAAACCAAGAGGCTGTCGCCGATATGAAGGACAGATCGCTCCTTAGGAGTCGCCCAATTCACAGTCAAAAAGCTAGAGTTGCCACTCGTTACGCTGTATGATTGGTCGCCTTCGATCTTGTTAACTTGGCTGCTCAATGGCGCTTCAATTGTGAATTCATTGCGCTCGTCGGCTCCAGCATAAAGGATAAGAACCGTCTGGTTTCCTTGCTTCAGGTGCGTAAAAACGTCGGCAGTGGAGTAAAGTAGTCGAGTGCCTTGAACATCGTAGTCGGTCACGATTATTTTCGAGTCTCGACCATTGAGACTGAGCGACTGGCTTGTTCGAGGAATCGTAAGGGTCCCTTGAGATGTTGGTAGTTTGACCTTGTATTGTGTCGATCCAAAACTCGAGTAGTTGGTATGTCTGACTACGAAGAACGAAGCATCATCTGTGCTGTTTGCTAGTATCGGCGTGACAGTGATATCAGGGTTATCACTATAGACGTTGTTCGAACTGGCACCCGGGGTCGCCGTAAGATAACCGGGGCTAGACTGTAGGAACGTCGCCTGTAACTTCAGTTCCGAGTACTTTTCTCGCGTAACGGTTCGGTCCTCCTTGATGACACTTCCATAGTCGTATGAAGTGTATCCGCCAGGGTGTCCGAGGTTACCCCAATTAGTGCCGCCAAAGATCATATAGAGATTATATATCGTCACACCCTGTATATGTTAGCACCGTCAGGTATACGCTTGGCATGGCCATATGTCGAGGTTCTCGATGCTTACCGCCGCATAGTTATTCTTGTAGAAGACCCGCTGGAACTCGTGATTTACGAGCGCACTGCACTGTATAACCGTAAGCTGCCTGTTTGAAAATGGGGCTTTAATGAATCATTATACTCCTAAAGAGGTAAGGAGCTAAGTTCGTTGGCTGGCTGGCAACGATTGAGGACATACCTGCTCGAAACCCCAACCTCCCCAGGGATCAAATGAGCCGGCTTGAAATTCAAGCTACGCTAACGTTAGCAAATTGGAACCAAAGAACACCGATGACGGCTTAAGAAAGAGTGTCTAGGATAGCAACAAGGTATTTCTTATACATACTATGGAGTAAGGTGTCGTTGGACTCTGCTCGAGATGGTCGCTTCGATAATTTGTGGGTAAATTTCCTTCGGGCCAAACCGTGGGATGCGCGCAGTCAAATCCTAAGGGGTAACCATCGTGTCCATAGATGTCAACTTCACCCTCGCCGGTTCCTGGAGCGTTATGACCGAGGGGGCTCGCGTCGTTGTTGATAAAAGGAATAACTATCCCAGCATCTCGCGCCTGTTGAAGAACGTATTCCATGTATGACCCGTCCGGGAAAGGGGTATAGTCGCCAGCTCCCGAATACTCGTTCTCTGGCTGGAGTAGAATCACCGGACCACCATTAGTAATTTGAGCATCCGCAATTAGCTTGCCGACATTCGACATGTAGTTATCCGTCGCATTAAGGAAGTCTGGCGCAGCACTCCTCAGAAGACCGCGAACCCGTTGTATCCATCCCGGGAACCCACCGCCGCTGACCTCGGCGTTGATGTAAGGGCCAGGCCTAGCAATGAGATAAACCCCGACCTTTTGGGCTGCATCAAAGAACGGCTTCAGGTCAAAGACACCCTCCGCAGAGAAATCCCCAGGCTTCCCCTCCAAGAGAGCCCAGTCGATGTAGAAGGAGATGCAGTTGAAGCCGAGCGCTTTTACTTTCTGCAAGACGTCGATCCACAAAGATGGCACTGGGAGTCTGAATGGATGGAACTCCCCGCTAAAGATCAAGACTCTTTCGCCGTGGACAAAGAGCGAGTGCTCATCCCAAGTGACGATATCTTGCGCGGCTTGTCGTTTCTCGGTAAAATCACGTATTAATAGCGTATCAGGGGGTCCGGCGCTGCTGAGAGCATAGCTCAGTAGGGCTTGCGTCGCGACCAGAAACAGTGACGACCTCATTGCCAGTACCTCGCGTAGTCCCAAAGGAAATTTGGCAAGTGGGAGTAGAGCATGGAGGATTTCTATTTATGCAGTTTGTTTAAGTTACATTGCGGACGATGCGCCTAGGCTGACCTCACCTGTTATACATAGACATATATAAGGTATTTAGACAAAGAAACCCCTTGACCTTATGATGTAGGCCATGTTGGGGTATTGTGGGGTAATAAGATCAGCGCACGTTGCCAAAGATGGGGGATCGCAAGCTTCCATTTCCGGTGGACGAGCGAGAAAAAACAATTAAGTTTTGCTCACGGGCTAAAGAGGTGAGCGGCGCAGCACATAAGAAAGAGAGCCACCGGTGAGGATGCTCGTACGCTCGTACGGTGTAAAGGTAATAATATCTCCACTACGAGAGAGTAACCCCAACGTCGTAATGGCAAACGGAATAAATCCAACAGGTCCGCGAGTACGGCCATTATTATTCCATCAGGTATTATACAAGGATCTCCCATTGCGCAATATGTATGTTTAGGCGACCCGACGGTTCGGCACATCGAGGACCGACGATATGGAGGACAAGCAAAAGCGCTTAGATGGAGTTTGTATAGTTAGTTCGTGTTACCAACGGACTCACAGTTTTATAAACCGTAATTGGTTAATTTAATTTAAGTAGAGTTGACGCCTTGTGAGTACGAAACTTTGATAAAGCAAAAAGATCAGCGTAAGTACCAACCTTAATAGGGGGCACCTACTAAGGTATACTAGTGAAGTCTCAGGCTACACCAAAGGTATTATAACCAATACCTAGATACCTATTCATTTATATTATACCAAATCTACTTACTTCTATACTTGGTATTTACAACTTCTCCAAACGCCTCTTCCTCAATATCTCCTCCCCAAACCGCGCCATCTCAAACTTCTTCACTTTGCCGCTCCCCGTCAGCGGCACGTCAGCCGGCACCCCGTCCTCGCCCAGCCAGAACACGTGCGTCGGCGCCTTATGCCGCCCCAGCTTCTGCTGCACCCAATCGCGAACTTCGCCATCGCCCAGCCTTCCTCCCCCTCCCTCCGCCAGCTGCAAGAACGCGCCCACCACCTCTCCGTAGTGCGCGTCCTTGAGCCCCGTCACTATCGCCCGCGCGACCGCCGGGTGCGCTAGCAGCCGCTCTTCGATCTCGAGGGGGTAGATGTTCTCGCCGCCGCGGATGATGATGTCCTTGAACCGCCCGGTGATGGAGCAGTACCCTTGCTCGTCGAACACGGCCTCGTCGCCCGTCCGCAGCCAGAGGACGCCCTCGGCGTCGCGCTGCATCACCTCGGCTGTCTTCTCCGAGTTGTTCCAGTACCCGGCTTGCAGCTGGTAGCCCGCGATGCACAGCTCGCCGCGCGCGCCCAGCGGCAGGATCTGGCCGTCGTGGTCGACGATCTTGGCGCGCGCGTGCGGCATCAGCGTGCCCACGGTGGTCAGCCGCTTTTCGATGGCGTCGTCGGTGAAGGCGTTGAAGCAGGTCGGGCTGGCCTCCGTCAGGCCGTAGCTGCTGGTGAACTCGGTCATGCCGAAGCGCTCGACCAGCAGCTCCATGAGGTAGCGGGGCACGGGGGCGCCGGCGATGATTCCCGTGCGCAGGTTGGTGCAGTCGAAGTTAGGGGGGGAGGGGAGGCTGAATAGGGTGTCGAACATGGCGGGGACGCCGTGGACCGCGGTGCACCGCTCGTCGGAGATGGCGCGGAGGACGGCGGCCGCGTCGAAGGTCTCCTCCGGGTATACGATCTTGGCGCCGTGGGTGATGACGGCCATCATACCGAGCACGAGACCGAAGCAGTGGAACAGCGGTGGTGGGCAGCAGAGGACGTCGTCCGGGGTAAGCCGCATGCGGTCGCCGATGAAGCGAGCGTTGTTGACGATGTTATGGTGCGTTAACATAGCCGCCTTGGGAAGGCCCGTGGTGCCGCTTGTGAATTGCAGATTGCACACGTTATGCGCGAGAACCTTCTTCCCGAGACGGTGAAGATCGCTGTCGCTGACTGATCTCCCTTGCTTAATTAGGTCCGCGTATGTTGGATACGACCCCGACTCTCCTCTCAGGATTACGACGTTGGGGCCCTCCTTCTCCTTGGCTAATTCGGCTAACAGTTTGGTGTTCTGCAGCCTCCCAATTTTCTTGGTGGTGAAGAATATTTTCGAGTCTAAGCAAAGTTTAGAAAGCAGCAACGTCTTTGGTACAGATAGGTAGGTACGTTTACGGCTTACCCGTGAACTTCAGTGCGTGTAGCGCTTCTGTTGGTGTGTACGTGTTGTTCAATATCACCAGTATAGCCCCGATTCGTGCGACGGCGAAGAAGACAGCGGCGTATTGCTCGCAATTGCCGGCCATAATACCAACACGATCTCCGACGCTAATACCAAGGGAAAGCAGCGTCCTCGCCAACTGAGAGCTTTGCTGGTTGAGCTCATTGTACGTCCACCGAGCCCCCGTCCAAGGCGTGACGATGCATTCCCGCGTGCCATGATGCTGGCACTGAAGATCTAAAAGTTCGCCGAGAGTTAGATCTACTAACGGGGGATCTACCGGACCCTCCAAATAAGACAGTGGTTGCCTCTGAAACTGAGGATTCGGTGTTGGTGAAGTATTCGATTGTGTAGCCATGATGAGAAGACTGTCCCCGAACGAAAGATTATTGAATAATCCTGCTCGATAACCCTCTCTCCCAGTATGATTTAAATACTATCTTGTGCAGATTCTGCGTATTGACGCAAGATATTATCTATGATGAAAAAGGCTTTTGACTAGACACGGAATGATTGATCTCTGTATATACGCAACTCTGTCTAACTGCAACTTCGCCTTGAATGTCTCTAAAATACCGTATTTAGTACATAATATACTAGGGTGGAAGCAAGTTAGATGAGTTGCTTGACAGTGAGAATATAAAACATACCTAACGAACATCGAAATAAACGAATTGTCCCTGGTAACTCGCAAATAGCACTTGTCCTAAATAGCTAGGTAGCTAGGTGTAGTTATAGCTCAGAGCCCGGGTATCTCTCCCGTTCTGGTATATGCTCCCCAAAGCTACCTACCTTCTCACGAAATTCTACCAGTCCACATCTAACGCACCGGGCTCCATGGTAGTACTTGTACGTAAGAACGCTGAATAAAAAGCGCAAGTTATTAATAAAACAGCGGCGAGTCGGCCGATGGAACCTACATAGGGGAATCCATATGCACATACATAGATCCCAATTCCCTGGAATACGTGAAGAACCAAGAAAAAAAACCAAAAAGAAGAAAAACACCCTTATCCCTGTACCATGCGCGTATGCAATTTGGTTATTGTTGGGTCCGGCTTCCACGGGTGGGTCGGACGGGGGACTAGACATCTAATCATCGGATCTGATAAGATCAAATTTTTTTATCGAAGCTGTACCTGTCTCGTACGTGGTTACACACGTTCCATCGTGCATGTCGTGCGAGATCGGACTACACAAAACTACCTTAACCGTTTAAAGTAGTGAAACGCTAACTCGTCGAATGCCCGCCTTGCAAGGAATATTATACACTTGTACAATTAATTGTATACATGTCTAGTACTTTGATGTACTTCAACGTTAATTGGCTGATGTATAATGTAGGTATTCTCAAAGGTACTTCTTTGCATGTAAGTATCCATTCGGCCTACTAATTTGTTACGCGTCATAATGTTATCCTGAATTGTTTCATTGGGGGGCTAGTCAGGTATTCTACATACATAGTATGCAGGAAAACGAACTCGTCTATATTCTTGATGTCGGTCTAAATTCCGTATCCTATCATAGAGATCATGCCTATGCAAACTCGCTCCAACGCCTGTAATTGTAATACGCTAAATTGCCAGATATGCCAAGTTCTAATGCACCAACCACCAAGATGAACTCTAGTGTATTTGGGTATCATATATAGCCCGTACATATGTACTATCATCAAAGTACAGTCCCCTTAACCTGCTTGGACTGGCTTACCCTAACATCTTGCCAGATCCCCACCGCGAGGATTTCAAAAAGCGATATGAGGGTCCCCGTGATACACATCCGGGACTGGGCTATTCCGTATGCAGTAATAATAGCGCTTCGCATCGCGCTGCCCATAGGGTAGCTTAGTTGTCTCCTTAGATCAGACCCGATTAGCGCTAGTTCGTCAGGAGGGACCTCGGGTAAGAGCCTAGCAAGCTCCGTTGGGAGTGTCGTGTTCCAGATGGCACCGCTGAGCGAGCTCCCTATTGCTGAGCCCGTGTAGTACGCAAGACCCAGGATAGCCATGATAGAGGCTAGGTCTGAGTGGTCTGCGATGCCCATCACTGCTATCTGTTCGCACATAACCAGCGTACTACCTCCGATCGTGATAAGAATTTGACACATAATGACCCATGCGATATTCGTGTCGGGCTGGCGGAAGATAATCATTAATGCGCCGCCTAAAAGATGCACCGGTAAAGCAGCTAAAGCTAGCCACTTGAATCTGTCTGTCCGCCGGATTAAATACCCCACGACCACGGCCCAAATGCACGAACCAAGGCCGTAAATATGGCCTATGTATCCGGCGTGTTCGAGGGTTAAGTTATGCACAACCTGTAAATACGATGTATAATAGCCGTCCCATGCGAAATAAGCAATAAATATTACGACGGATAATAGGAAAGCCCCCGCCACGTTACGGGAGAATAGGAGCGAGAATCGTACAAACGGCCGTTTCGTTTTACGCTCGTGAGCAGCAAACGCGACAAGAAACAGGACTCCGAATATAGGCGTAATGGCGACCGCGTTGTTTACCGCAGAACCGTGTAGCGAAAATGGAACTAATATTAGAGTTAAGCCGGCGGCGGCAAGGAACATTCCTAAAGCTACTAGATGTTAGATAGATTCCAGATTATGCAGATTAGGTATGGATATCGCTATGTAAGTCGACATACCATCAATATCAATCAGTCCTTGGCGTAATTTCGATATAGTCCACGGGCCACTCCTAGTGCGCTCCGAAAGTAGACCTAGCTTTCTCGCCTTTCGCGCATTGATGATCAAAATGGACAGAACCGGCAAAGAAAGCACAACAAACAACACCGCAGAAAGGCCAAATGCCCATCTCCAACCGCTGCCTTTGAGGAACGCGTTGGCTACCACCGGACCGAGAAATGTGGTGATCAATGTAGGTGAAGAGTTGAATGCAAACGCAAGCGTTCGGTCCTTAAGCGATGAAGTATCGGCAATGATGATGTCGAGGACATAGGTAAAACCGCTGATACCGACTTGGTAGATTACCTCGGCTGCTGCGTATGTCCGGACATTCTGGCTCGCGGCCATGAGAATAAGTCCCAAGGTCGCAAGCGCGATTACGCACGCGAGACCCTGCGGACGGCCCCAGGAGTCGATCAGCTTGGCTATGGGCAGTTTTAAAATGCCGCTCATGATGGACGCTATTATTCCAATGGTGGGTATTAAAGAATGCGCACTGAATTCGCTGACGACATAGGGCTGCAAATTCGACATAACTTGGTATTGAAGAGTATTCGCAAACGAGCAAAGGAAAATGCTAGGGATACGATAAACCATCAGCTAAAAACCGCGATATCGATCGTTGAATGCGTAGGTAACAATTATTGATGTCACGATCACGACTCACAAGAAATATGCCAGAATGAGCACAGCTCTTGACCAAACTTGATTGATGGCATCGGCCTGCTTGACGCCATCCTGGATATCGATACTTGCTCCATCACCCGTTGGGTCGATGTTGACTATCACATCATCTTTGCTGGATGTAGTAGATCCATACGAATCTCTTCGGGTAATACCACTGTCGTCGCTACCCGACCCCTGACCTAGCAGTGGTGCCTGGCTACTCGTTATCGTGTCTTCTTCCATGTTAGTTGACGGAGGAAGACGTCGATGGAGTCTTGACATATATATCGACTCCAGGATGAAAAAGTAAAGTTTAAAAAATAATAATTGGCAGTGCACGTTATTTTCTACCGTTACAATGTGTTCATCCAGGATTCTGGGTAGTGGATGTTAGGTCATCAGGCCACCCTGTCAGCTGATGAAACCTCTCAGCTCTCCCAAGACAGGGCAAAGACGTGGGGGGTTTCTAGGGGATATATTCGCGCAACTTTGACTCAGAGTGGCTTAGCCACGGGGGCTTGAAGTCTTGCGCGTACAATGTTGGAAATTAATAAACAAGTTGAAAAACTTGAGGTGATACAAAATAATCCTTCAGTGACTCCAGCTGATTGATTCAAGTCGTACATCAAGTCGTACAAGTCGTCTGGTCGTACAAGGCGATCCGAGCATTGGGTTGGGTTAAACTCTAATCCCAGTATAGTTCCGCGACATGCTGCTGGGTGCCTAGGTAGGTTACCTGCCTACTTGCCTGCTTGCCTACCCGCTACCGTGAGTTAGAATAAGTGTGAGTGATAATTGCCACCCACCTAAAAAACATCCCAAAGCAGCTTCCTACCTCCGTAGGCCACCCCCCAACTGCCCCAACTGCCCGAATAATGATGTGTTGTCCCTGTGGGCCTGCCTACCCTCTAGCGCCATCAGATAACTCATTAATAAATTAAAACAAAGCGTGATCCACCACTAATCTTGGCTTGGCTCAGAATGATCTTATCAGATGCTGCATGCCAAGACCCCGAAACAGCATTGTCCTACCACTCGAGGTTTAGTCGCCGCGAATCATGGCCCCCCATCCCTCTTAGACCCCGTCCTCGGAGGCAAGGGAATCCCAACCTTTCTTTCGAAGTATAGCTCGAGTCGAAAGAATAGTTCGAGGTATAGCTTTGTATTTGTATCTTCTGTACATTGGAGTTAGTGTTACATCATAAAAACTATATACCGTTGCAGAGTCGCCGAAATGAGAAGGCATCCCATCAAGATTGGTCTTATGGAGTCCGTTTACTTGGCTCCATCTAGCCCCGTATCGCCATGGATGAGGTTGTATTGGAATTTACTACGGCGCATCGTGCTTCCGGATGCCGGCGAGGAATAAAAAAAAGATGGATCCATGGGGTCTGTTCGCTTGGGGGGAAATGGGAAAAATTTCTTGACATGTTGAATATGTTCGAGGTTTTGTGATTCAGGCAATAAACATCACAGGCGTCTAAGTAAAAAGGGATTTCGTCACAATGGGTGACGTGCCTCAGAACGATGATTCGAACGCCAGCGGAAGCGCAAAGGGCACCGTTTTCCGTAGGGTAGCGTCAATGGTGTCAAATGTAAGTTTGCCGACTTACTCCTCTCACTGCGTTTAATAATCTAATCGACTATGAAGGGATCACGAGGTCTATTTCGATACTTCCGACTCCTGACCTACGCCGAACCGAGTAAAACTGACATTTCGTTGCTGGTAATCGGTACCATTGCTTCAATCGCGGCTGGAATACCGTTTCCGCTTCTCGGTATCCTCTTTGGTCAGCTATTAGACGACCTTAACTCGGCAACATGTGCTGGTGAACAAGCAACCTCTCCAGAGGACTACCAATCCGATGTGAATCAAAAGGTATTGCTAGTTATGGCTTGTGCCTTGGCGCAGCTTGCACTTGTTTACATATTCTCCGTATGCTGGAACCTGTTTGGCGATCGGCTTGCTCACCGGTTACGAGAGCGTTACTTCCGCTCCTTGCTACGTCAAGAAGTATCATTTTTCGATAAATTACCAGCCGGAGAGGTCTCCTCGCGTTTGAGCGCCGACATCAGCGTCATCAAAAGTGGTACATCCGAAAAGGTCGGCGTATACATGGGCTCACTCGCAATGTTCATTACCTCCTATGTCGTGGCCTTTATCAAGAACGCTAAACTAGCCGGCATTCTAGTGTCATTGGTTCCTGCATTCATGCTGATGTCCCTCGTCGGCGGTCACTTTATTGGTAAATTCTCGGGTCGAGCATCACAACATGTTGCATCCGCATCATCCATTGCCCTAGAGAGCTTGTCAAACGTCATGGTCGTACACGCGTTCAGAGCTAATAACCGCCTCGAAGAAAAATTCGCCGATGAGCTCCTCGCGGCAAAAAAGAATGGCGTCAAGAAAGCTATTGCGACAGCTGTGCAGTCTGGGTTGCTATATTTCATAGCTTTTTCGGCGAGCGGACTGGCATACTGGCAGGGCAGTAAAACCATAGCTGATGTTGTTGCTGGTCGTGAGGAGGGAGTAACTGTTGGTACAACATACACTATCATATTCCTTCTAGTTGACGGTAAGTTCCCTGTACGAAGCCATTATAATTATCTTCTGACGCCCATTTTCTAGCCTCCCTCGTGATTAGTCAGATATCGCCATACCTACAGATTTTCGGATCTGCCACGGCTGCATTAGAAAAGCTCGAGAAGGATATCGATCGCCATTCTAAAATCGACGGGACGCTTCCCTCGCAGGGAGACGAATTCGAGTCATTCTCGGGTGACGTTACACTCGAAAATGTTGACTTCACTTACCCGTCTCGTCCCGACGTTCCCGTAATTCAGGGTGTGACGCTTCACTTCCCGGCAGGCCAACAGACCGCAATCGTTGGTTTATCTGGTAGTGGAAAATCCACAATTGCCGGTTTGCTGACTCGATTATACGATCCCGACCAAGGTACCGTGTATGTGGATGGCCGAGATATCCGTGACGTTAACGTGCGCCAACTACGAAGCTTTATTGGACTTGTTCAACAGGACCCCTTGCTTTTGGATCGATCTGTATTGGAGAACATAGCCCTCGGATTAGTGAACTCTCCTCGCCCGGAGCATGGACCCCTGCAACCTATCCTGCTTAGTACCCAGCTGTCCCAAATAGCAGAGGCGGTGCGAGGCGGACAGGATATGGTTACTGCTGCAGAGTCGTATGGCGATCTAACCGTCGAAATTGTGAAAATGGTCCAGAGAGCAGCGAATCTTGCTGATGCTGACGCCTTCCTCGAGAACTTAGAATATGGATTCGGTACGATCGTTGGCCCTAACGGCGACCTGCTAAGTGGTGGACAAAAACAGCGCGTAGCGCTAGCAAGAGCTCTGGTCAAAGACCCCAAGATTTTAGTTCTGGACGAGGCGACTTCATCTCTCGATTCGGCTAGCGAACGGCGTATACAAAGCGCTATCGACAAGGTTTCTACGGGCAGAACAGTGATATCAATTGCGCATCGTCTAGCGACTGTCAAAAATGCTGACAATATCGTCGTAATGCGCAATGGTAAAGTCATAGAGCAAGGTAGTCACGTTGACCTTATTGCCAGAAACGGCGATTATGCAGCCCTTGTTCGGTTGCAGAATATGGGATCGGAGACTTCAAGCGTGAGCACTGCAAAGGGAAGCACTTCGAAGGAACTGGCCCGTTCAGATACAGATATGGAGGAAGTATCTCGGTCCCTCAGTATGAAGGATGAAAAGGACGGCGAAGCTGCCGCCCCTGGAACTGAAATAGAGGTAGAGAAGGAGGCGAAGATATCCGATCAGTCGAGGCCGACATGGGCCACAATTAAGAGTCTAGCAACCGTAACTCGGCCTCACCTGCTCTGGGTATTTGTTGCCCTCTTCGCAGCTATCGTTGTTGGCGGAACATATTCCGGATCGGCGTTGATCTTCGGTAATACGATCGGTGCTTTAAGCCCTTGCAACTCTGAGGATGCTATTCGAGCAGCCGGTAGCTTTTTTGGCCTTATGTTCTTCGTACTTGCCATTATCGAGTTTTTCGCCAATGGAGTGAGTTGGTCGGCATTTGGCTGGATCGCGCAAAAGATGCTCTATACAATCAGGGTACTCTCTTTCCGCTCGCTATTCGAACAAGACCTGCAGTGGCACCAATCTGAGGGTCGCACTCCGTCGATGTTGCTATCGTATATCACGAGCGATTCAGCTGCCGTAGAAGGGTTAACAGGCTCCATAGTAGGAACTATCTTCTCTATCTGCGTTAACTTCATCGCCGCGGTCATAATGACACTCATTATCGCCTGGAAAATAGCAATCGTCTGCCTGGCGACAGTACCGCTTATGCTTGGCTCAGGAATAATGCAAATGCGCATCCTCACTCGTTTCGCAGAACGCCACGAAAAAGCATTTGCTAAATCGGTGAGCATCACTGTCGAGGCTGTGAACTCGATCAAGACTGTTGCAGCACTATCGCTCGAGCAAGAGGTACTCGGGACATACCGTCGCTCTCTCTCCGCGCCGCGTAATGAGATGACACGCTCCAGCCTATGGGCCAACCTATTCCTCGCGATTGCATTCAGCATGTCAAACCTCATATATGCGTTCATCTATTGGTGGGGGGCGAAACAGATCATCGAAAGCCATTATACGCAGGTCGAATTCTTCATCGTGCTGATGGCGCTTCTAGTAAGTGCTCAGCTTTGGGGTCAACTCTTTACCCTGGCACCTGAAATAACGAGAGCGGGAAGGGCAGTGGGTCGGATTTTCGACCTCATCGACTTAAGCTCATCCAAAACCATGTTAGCAAAGGGGGTAAATCGTCGTGATCCAGAGGCCGCTGTCGAGTCGAAGAGAGCATCAACATCAAATGCTCAGGGCCTTGCGGTAAGCTTCAAGGAGGTGAAATTCTCATACCCCGCGCGACCAAACCGACAAGTCTTGAAAGGTCTGAATATCGACATTCGCCCAGGTCAATTCTGCGCTCTTGTTGGTCCTAGCGGTGCCGGAAAATCGACGGTCATATCGTTACTAGAGCGCATGTATAGCGCGGAATCAGGCGCAATTGAAGTCGACGGCGTAGATATCTCGGGTAGAAAAGAACCCATCTTTCGAGATGACATCGGTCTGGTGCCACAGGATAGCATCTTATTTGACGGTAGCATTCGGTTTAACGTCGCCCTCGGGGCTCGTCCAGACGAAGAACCATCAGATGCGGACATTGAAGAAGCATGCAAGTTGGCGAATATTCACGATACTATCGTAGCTCTACCAGATGGTTACAACACACAATGCGGACCCAGTGGAGGTCAACTTTCAGGTGGTCAGAAGCAGCGTCTTTCCATCGCGAGAGCATTGGTGCGCAAACCGCGACTACTGCTCTTAGATGAATCAACTAGTGCTTTGGATGCAGAGTCAGAAAGGCTACTTCAGGACGGATTAGAGAAGGCGACGCGGGGTATAACGGTGGTGGCTATCGCACATCGATTGCATACTATCCGACGCGCAGACGTAATCTTCATGATCGAAGACGGGCAATGTGTCGAAAAGGGTACGCACGAAGAACTGTTGACTCGTAGCGA